TTTATAAAAAAGAGGTTATTATTGATCCCCTCAAACTCCAACACACATCTATTTTGTCAACTCAAGACTAATTTAAATGTCTTTTTTTCAGAATCATTTATGCGATCTTTAAGGCTCACCAAATTACAAAAGAATAAACATGCAGAAATGGAAATATAAAAGTAGAAAAATGCTTGGTTTTTTACTTAAGTCTCTTAGATGCAGATTGTGTCAGTTATCTATTGCTGTGTAACAGACTACCCAGAATTTACTGGCTTAAAACAACCACTATTCATTTATCTCTGAATTCTATGGGACAACAATTTGGGCTGGGCTTGACAGGGATGTTCCCCTGCTGGTCTTTGCTGGGTTCACTCATGTTTCTGTGGTTAGCTGCCAGATTGGCTGTGAACTGGCTGGTTTTGGGTGGGGGTGGGGGTGGGGAGGCAGGCCTCAGCTAAGATAGTTTATCTCTGCTCCAATTGGTCTTGTCATTCCAAAAATATAGTTTGTTAACCCCTTATCTAAGGGGGAGGGGGCGAGAAGAATGCACATTCACGTGCGTAGCTGTCAGGCCAGTATGTCCCCTGTGCCTTAGATGCAAAGGCTCATTTCTGCACTATGTGGTGTCCTATCTTGTAGGCTAGCCCAAGCTACTTCACATGGTAGACCCAGGCTTTCAAAGAGCAGCAAGAGAGGACTAGCCTCCACTTGCACGACCTCTTCAAGCCTCTGCTTGGGTCCTTTTTGCTAATGTCCCACTGGACACAGCAAGTCACATAAGATGTGCTTCTTTGAAGGCCATTATTGAAACAACCTAGCCCAATCACTTACTAATTATTTGACATTGGACAAGTCACTTACCTCACTGATATTCATTTTCTTTATCTGTAAAATATACATACCATTTATCTTATAAGGTCTTTGTAAAGATGAATAATTAAGTTCTTTACATGTATTTACATGATAATTCTTTATATCTCTTGCAATGCTTAGCATTGTACCTTATACTTTTTTTAAACCAAAGAGTAACATATTTGTTTCACTTAAATTCTTAAAAAATATTTTTTTGGCAGTTGTCACATAAAATGTCCTAATGTAAAAAAAAAAAATCATTGAAAGGAAAGCACGAATAAATAGACCCAAAATGTTAAGATTTCATTTACAAAGCTTTTTTGTTGTACAGAAAGTAAAAATGCTGTTACAATCTCTGTAACTGGTAGCCACAGACAGTTGACTCTCCAATCACAGCTATCCACGCTACAGCAAGAGTCTTACAGGAAAACCTAATAATGCTTACGATTTTATTGGGGCGAAGTCCCCAAGCTTGGTGGTGGATTGTCAAGAGGAACTAAATGGAGGAAGGCGGAATGTCACAGGGACTATTCTTTGGCTCTTGGGGTGGGTGGGTGCCCTGGGGTTTGTATCATAGCTACTTTTTTTTTTTTTAAAACAGCTACCAAATCCATGAGCAGTCCAACTGATACTGAACAGTTCTGATTCTGCAGGTCATTTGGGGTCTTAATCATCTTCTCCTTCATCATCTGTTTCTCTCTTTTCACCCTTCCTGCTTTCCTCCTCCTCTTCATCCTCATCTTCATCTTTATCAACTTCTCCATCATGTCCAACTTCTTCCTCTCCACTGACTTCATCTTTGTCTTCTTCCCCTTCTAGAGCTTTGTCTTCATCTTCATCCTCTTCTTCTTCACCATCCGCCTCCTCTTTATCCACACCAGCCACCTCAGCATCTGAGTCAGGGGCTTCCCGGTCCTCTCGATCATAGCCATCCAGGTAGGTCAGCTGGGGCAGGAGCTTGAAGACACTCTCTCAGTAGTCATTCAGGTTAGTAACCTCACACTTAAAGAGGTCCAGGCTTTTTAGACACTTCAACTTTTTCATAGTTTCCAAGGTGCTGTTATCTTTCAGTTTATTTCCACTCAATTTTAGATTTGTGAGATTAGGGAGTTTTTCTGCTAACATGTCCAGACCTCCAAAGATTCTATTGTCACTGAGCTCAAGCTTTTTCAATTTAGATAGCTTGGGGAGATTTTTTTTTTTTTTTTTTGAGACAGAGTCTCACTGTGTTGCCCGGGCTAGAGTGAGTGCCGTGGCATCAGCCTAGCTCACAGCAACCTCACACTCCTGGGCTCAAGCAATCCTCCTGCCTCAGCCTCCCGAGTAGCTGGGACTACAGGCATGCGCCACCATGCCCGGCTAATTTTTTCTATATATATTTTTAGTTGTCCAAATCATTTCTTTCTATTTTTAGTAGAGACAGGGTCTCGCTCTTGCTCAGGCTGGTTTTGAACTCCTGAGCTCAAACAATCCGCCCGCCTCGGCCTCCCAGAAAACTAGGATTACAGGCATGAGCCACCGCGCCCGGCCTGCTTGGGGAGATTTTGAAACGGAAAATGAAGCTTACATTTATTAAACTGAGGAACTCTAAGTTCAAAAATTCCACTATTAAACCCTCAATTTTTCCATCATTTGACTTGCAGTTGTCCAAGATAAGTTCTCGAACCTTGGTGGGGGTCCGGTAGCCTCGTGGCCGGGGTGGTGGGGTGGGGGAAGGGTGAGAGGCAGCGGGAAGCCACACTAACTCTAGGGGAGATCGTGCCTTACACTTAACCCCCCCCCTTTTTTATAACTAGAAACTATGGAGGATACAAAGATAAACAAAAGATAACAGTCAATATCTACTGTTTATGTATATGAAATGATTGCCCTGAGAAATGTACTGGCTTTAATATGGCCTTTGCCATAGACGTTTTATATTTTATTTTTTTATTTTTTTTATTTTTATTTTTTTTTATTTCAGCATATTATGGGGTACAGATGTTTAGGTTACGACGTTTTATATTTTAATGTCTTTTTCCTTCTGATTTTGAAGGATGTGTTCATGGTAGAAAAATATAAGAAAGTACAAAATTAAAAAAATTAACTAAAATCCTATTGCTAAGAGATAACCACTCTTAATATTTCAGCAGATTCCTCTTCAACATTTTTTCCCCTATGGATTTCAATCTTATTAACAGCCTCCAAGCAAACTTAAAACTTCTGAAAAGAACAAATGAGTTTAACTAGTCCCCACTTTGAAGACATTAAAAACACGTGTGTATTGAAATAAAAACCAACTGCCTGACATGCCATTTAATTTTTGTTAAGAGCACTAGGAATGACGACTTAGGAATCGCCAGGAGATAGAAAAGCATTCACTTGCTTGTTTGGCAGGAAATAAGAAGTCACAGCCATAAAACTCACAACTACTGACAAGTAATAAATATGTCTTTTTAGAAAAACTCTTCATATAGTCAAAAGTGTTTCCTTCACTTGACTCATTACAAGGGCCTTTACCAAGAGTACCTCCTCCATGCAAGAGTGAAAAGCACATGCTCGAGTGTCTCTACTTTTTTGAAGAGGTTTTGTTTTTTTCACAGACTATATCCTGTTCTTTCAGCAGTTTCTGATTTTTCATATGCTCCTTATTAAGCTTTGGCTGCCCTGATCAATTTCCAAATGACTTTCTGGTAGGACTGTTAGCAAGTGTATTGGTTTGTCCTTGGAGTCCTTTCCCATCAAAATTGTTACAAATATACACAAGCTGCATAAATGCAGTTTAAATTGTCTCAATTTACCACATTTCTACTTCATTACTGAGACTATACACATGATCAAAAAAGTAATATGGGCCGGGCACAGTGGCTCATGCCTGTAATCCCAACACTCTGGGAGGTCCAGGCAGGAGGATCACTTGAGCTCAGGAGTTTGAGACCAGCCTGAGCTAGAGTGAGACCCCATCTCTACTAAAAATAGAAAAAAATTAGCCAGGCATCGTGGTACGCGCCTGTAGTCCCAGCTACTCAGGAGGCTGAGGCAGGAGGATCATTCGAGCCCAGGAGTTTGAGGTTGCTGTGAGCTATGATGATGCTACTGCACTCTACCTGGGGTGACAGAGCGAGACTGTTTCAAAAAAAAAAATGTCCAAATGGAAAGAACTTTAATTACAAATCCATCATTAACTTAGTGAACTGCTACTAATCTAACACAATGATTTCAGAAGCATTAAATTTCTCACTAACTGATTGGAAGAAAAGAAGGAAGGAGGGATGAGAGAAGGAGGAAGGAATAGTGAGTTCTAACTTCACTATAGTGAAGGTTTAGGTAATC